AAATATTTACTTAGCAAAAATTCTTAACCTTTTCTATATAAATTATGTTTTTTTTTTTCTGAATATGCTAATTAAATTATGTAAACAGCACACTGCAAAGATGGAAATAATCTAAAATTCTTAGACCGATCTTTTATAACATTTTCAAGGTTTCTATTTTTTTTTGTTAGAATGAAGACGGTTACTATAAGCAGTTATATCAGACAGATAGTTTCCAAGAATTTTTTTTCCTCAATTTATTAGCAATAAAACAAAAAAAAAAATCATTTTTGGTTAAAGTAGATGACAAAAACTGAAAATGCAAAAAACTGTCACTTTTTTCAAATTTCTAATATATTAGCTTTTTAACATTTTACCAGTGAAACTGTCACAATTAACGTTTACCGCAGCAGTATTTTTGCTATTCAACAGGTTCTTATATTTTTTATCCTACAAAAATCCCTCACTACGTTTGATGTTGAACTACCAGTAAAAGCATGGAACTTCATGAAACTAATTACTGAAGATGTTATACAAAATGAAAACAACTTCGATTAATTTCAAATTTTTTAGCTTAAAATTTTTTTCTGCTTTTTTTGTTCTTTACTGATAATAATATTGAGAACAAAAAAAAAAAATTTTACCCCAATTTTTGCTAATTTTACAGAACAAAGCTGATCATCAGTAAGTCTAGAGCAAGTCTTTTACTAGGCATTGAAAAACTGTTCATTTAATTACCTAAACTCAATGCACAGTTTTAAAGTAACGCTTTTACCGCAATATTTGTTCCTATTACTGCGCCTATTCCACTGCATTTCATCTATGAGGAAAATGTTCAGTTTTCTAGAAGTAAAAAAGCTTTAAAGCTTAAGATTCCAAAATTGTCTTGTAAGGGTGATACGAATTTGAATTAAATTTTGTTTTGTAAAATTGTTATTGAATTAAACTTGAAAACTTTTAGTTTTATTTTTTCTTTGGTTCAAGAAGTTTACAACTTTCTTCTGCATTACTTCACTTGTGAGTTTTCCTGAAACATTAGATTTATTTAAAACCTCTTACCAGTTAAAAGTTTTCAATTTTTCAGAAGCATTTATTTTTAACTCAACTAGGTAAACTTTCAGATACTCAAATAGTATAAAGTCAACATTTTTTTTTCTAACTTATTTTCTTCACGTTTAGAAGCTTTCTTTTCAGCTCATTACTTTATCTTGCTTATTCACTGCAGACTAGATGTGTCTATTAACAACGACAAAGTTACCAAACTAAATAGATACCTTCTACTTTTCTGCATCTAAAAAATTACTGTCTTTACTGGAGATGAACCAAAATAAAAACACTATACCAAATAGCTTACAAATCAGAACAGCTTTATCATCAATTCTCTTAAAACTTTTTTTTTTTGTCGTACTCGTCTTTTACTATATATTTTAAGTAAACTTACTGAACTTTGTTTACATTATACAATAGTTTATTTTTTTGACGTTTTATGTACAGAAAAAATGCAAAAATGATTACTAATACGAAATCTACAAATTTTTTTTTATCCTACCTTTGCATAACTGTCAAGTAACCGGGGTTACTGCAAATGCGGCAGCTGCTACATAATTTTCGCAATTTTATTCTTGCTTTCTAAAAAAAAAAAACATTTAGATTTTTTGTGTTTGCACAAAAACACTGGTTTGTAGCATTTTTTGCTAGCAGAATGCGATATTAACATTCTCAAAGCTAAGATAGAATAATTTATTTTTTTGCTTCTATAAGGAGTTTGTCAGTTTCTTGCGACTTTAGAATAAATAAAAAATAAATCAGCCATTTCTGTTGAAATTAACAAAAATTTTCAGTGTCAAACTGGTGAAATTTTTTCACCGACGACAAGTTTACATAGATTTTTTGCTTCTAAAAGCTCGGTTATTTACGTTTGTTCACAAGAGAATTGAAGAACTAAATTTTTAGTTAAATTGTAACTAAAGCATGAAAATTTTCTTTTTTACAGGTTTTTTCTGTAGTTGTAAACAAGAAATGTGAAAATTCACTTTTTTTTTTTGATTTTAATGCGACAATACATAAGCTGTTAAAGGAATTTATAATGAACAAGTTTCAAGCACATGCGAAAAAGTTGCAGAATCCAACGAAATCTAGCATAAAATGGTGGTCAAGCATAAAATGGT